TGAAAAACATAAAAAATATATTAAATATATATGTATGTTTAAAAAGACATAAGCAAAATGTGTAGATGGTGTCTACATCTGAATCAAATCAACGTTCAGTATTTAAAATTTTTTCATGTACTTTCTTCAGAAAAATGCTGTAGAGTCATAATCTGTTGCAGGTGATTCTCCCACACATCCTTTTTTATTCCATTTAGCTGGTTACAAACAAAATTGATTTTATAACCTCCAAAAAATTTCAACTTGCAGTTTGCAAAGGACTCTCATAGACCTGTCCACTTGGTCTCTGGATGCAGGTGACTAGTAATTATTATGCTTTGTTTAAAGGTCTTATATGGAAAAACACCTTTCTAAAACATGTTATGGTTCTAAAGATTCTGGTTGATAAAACTGAGTCTTGAGGGAATTTCTTAACATTGTGTGCCCCTATTAAACTGAAGCCTTGGGAAGACAGGGATTATTCATTTATCATTTTGTCATCAGTGCTTAACATAGTGCCTCTCTCATAATGAATTCTCAGTAAATACTTGATGAATGAATGGTTTGATTAAGAATAATGTAGTATCATCATTTGAATCTTTTGTGGGAGGGTGGGGTTCTTGAAAGTATTTTTAAGACAATTCTCATTTATAATTAATTTATAGAGAAGTAATTTCATGACGGTAAAGATAATGGACTTTTTTGGGCTTTTACCCAATATTCTCATTGATTGTTAACTTGGGGATGATTTATTTTTGCTTAATTATTAATTGGCAAGGGCTCCCAAAATGTTGGTTTTATATATTTGTCTCTGTTTAAGGCAAAATTATGATTTTGTATTATCATTATTTAATCTTTGTATTATCATTCAGTTAGTACATGTATTATTCAAAGGAAGGAAAATTTTACTGTGAGAACTTTATATTTAATGGATTCCTAAAATTAATGGGCTTGTTTTATGTATCCATGTTTAAACTGAAATGTTCATGTGTTGATTTTTACTAAAACAAATCTTTAATATTATAGCCTACCATGGGTCCAATAGTCAAGTTCTCTTTGGCTTTTCAGAAGCAGTAGTAGGTTTAC